AATTTTTTACAAAGAACCCAGTCACCCAAACAATCTGTCCTAGAAACTTCCTGGTTTCTTCATGTCCCCCTGTTGGCAACACAAAACAATCATTATTGGATAAAGGGTTTAGCAAGCAGTGGTCTTGTCACTTTTCAAGGGACTGTGAGTACATGCAAGCTTCTGAGGGCTTTTACCTTGTGCCTAAAGCATCTAAAGATCAACAATGAGACTCTGTGAGAGTTTAGGCAGGCAGCAAAACTGAAACCAGGAAGATACCTCTTAACATTCTAACTTTTGACTCCTACCTCTACATATGAATGAAATTTTCCTGGCCATGTTTACTTCTCTCAATTCTGTAACCAGTTGGTGAAGGCAAGAAGTTACAAGCTCAATTCTTTTGGTTGATAAATGCAAATTTTTCAAAGTGAGTAAGCATATGTGTAAAGAAATGTTATAAGCAGGAAACCACCTAAGCAGCATATGCTTCCGTCCACCTCCTCTATTGCTCTATTCCCCTCAGTAGTATCAGGAAGTTAAGATAGCAAGAAAATTCTGCTGTGCTAAGTCTTAGATACTAGTTTTTGTTATAGATGATACTGTGGTACAGTATTGTGCAAGCCCCAAAAGGTGCAAGCTTACTCAGGAGAAGTAATTATGTAGGTTTAATGCTCCTTGACCACGAATTGATTCAATAGATTTTCCCTTGGGATGCTTTGCTGGAACAATAACGAGGATACAACATCTGCAAAAACTATTATATCTTGGTTTTCAACTTGATATCCTCAAAGAATAAAGAGGAGATTTGAGGTATCACTTATGCTTTTATATAAAACAAAAGTAAGAGGAACTCTTGAATATTGGACTTCCAAATATCAGTACAGAGACCAAAAGCTAGAATCAAAATATTGATAGAACTTCTATAATTAACCAGATAATTTCCTTTAAATATTCAGATAATTGATAGAAATTCAGATAATTGTATCAATTCGCCCTTACACTTCCTATATTTACATACTTTAAACATTTTAATATAGTTATTTGGCTCAAAATATAAAAGTCCAAAATGTGAAATTCTACCTTTAAATTTTGTAAAGTAGAATAAGAGGTCAAATTCATCTCAATGAGTTTTCACATTTGAAGGCTTTTATGGAATGCCTGGTATATTAGAATATGCTCTATGATTCAATATTTTTAAATAAACCATTAAATTTTCTTAAAGTTATTTTCTGCTCAATATAAGTTTTCATGATGTAGTATTCACTCTTTGGGGCAAATGATCTATGGTTTAGTACAAAAGTTACATAAAAATACTGGTTTGTTTCTAGTACCCCCTTGATGTGGCCCAATATCTTGTGGGGAATTTTGGGGGTGGGCAGCCACCATATTGAACTGAAATCCTCAGGGAACAGCAATCCCCAAGTCTGTTTCTTAGTTAGTAACCCATAATGCAAAGAGTGTAGAGCATGGTTTTTCAAACCTTGGCACCACTGAAATTTTGGGCTGGGTAGTTCTTTTTTGTGATGGCTGTCTTATGCAGAAGATGGTTAGCAGCATCAATAGCCTCTATCCACTACCAGTAGCACCCTTTCCTCCCCATTTGTGACAACCAAAATTTTCTCCAGTAGGAAAAGTTGCCCCTGGTTGAGAACCATGGCCCTAATGCATTACCTCACTATTGCCTACATTAAGGTTTGTCTGGCCATTTCCGTCTATCCACACTTTAGCTCTGAACTAGTCCATTTGGTCAATATTGACAAATACGGGTAAAATATTTAATATTGAAGATGTGACAGATGTAGTAAGTTGAAATCACAGATTGTAAATTTAAATTATTAAGTTTGGTTGAGTTCAAGGATACTGTCTAACTTGGAATTCACTGACTTCACTTAATCTGTATACAACCTTTATTTATATGGTTGTTAAGTATTCATAGAGGCACAAGTCACATCAATCAAGCAGATACAGAATCCAATCTGAGGCATTATGTTACACTCCATGGGGCTAGGAAATACCATAAGATATAGTATCTCCCCTCAAAGAACTTTTTCCATCAAGCCGTGGGAATACATTGTAATACATACAGTATTAGACTCTGGGCTGACATTTTGAAGTAAAATATTCAAGTGTCCTTTTTGGGGAGGAGTTAAAAAAAGCACACTTGAATTTCTTATCATTTTATTTAAATTAAAAAATACACATACATATGTGAAAAAGCATAAGCAAACCACAAGGAACTCCATGTAAAAACTCAAGTGATCTCTATCAATAGTAACAACAGACAGTTTATTTATTAGCAGTAGAGGTCAAAAAGTTTATTAAGATATCAAAAGCAGTGTTTCTAAGGAAATGTTTCAATAGTTTAGGTCTCAAAATTTAGCATTTGGTCTTCCACATTCTTATCTAACTCTGGCCCAAAATGATTTCAGGGAAAGTCACTTCTCAGATATGCTTAACTTATTTATTATGCAACTCTCTCTCTCAGGTAGTTGTAAAATTAAAGTAACTGGAAAGAATTAAGGAGACAAAAAAATGAAAGGTTTCACATATAATAAAGTGAACAATTTAAAGATTCAGCAAGAGTAGTGCCTAGGAGTTTAACCAGACATCAATAAAACATGCAGTGTACCTATAATGTACCTAGCACTATACCAATCTCAGTGAAGGATTCAAAAGAAATACGTCCATCCATTAATTTATTCATTCATTAATTCATTCGACAAATCTGTATTGAGGGCTTACTATGTGCCACACACCATTCTAGGCTCTGAGGATATAGCAATGAACAAAACAGATAAGAACCTTGCCCCCTGAGAGCTGGCATCCTATCTGAATAATTCTTACATAAGAGAAGTTGGATCTCTGTCCTCAAGGACCTAAATAATCTTGTTGGGCAGACTAAACAAATGAAATGCATGAAATAAGAACAAAACTACAATGTGAGTGCTGCTCTACTGCCATGCAAGAGGAGAAGTTTGAAGGAGGGCTTGGAGCAAGGAGAAAGTTTCAGTGGGGGTGAGCTTTAAGAAGAGATTCAAATGATGGAGCTTGAGTCAGACCCTTGCAACTCAAAGTGTGGACTTAGAATTAGCAGTATTGGCACCACCTGCAAAACTGTTAGCAATGCAGAATCTTGGGCCCACTCCAGAGTTGCTAAATCAAAATCTGCACTTTAAAAATAATCCCAGGGAATTTATATGGACATTAAAGTTTAGGTGGCACATTAAAGTTCTGATCAGGCTGGCATTGTTAAGTGTGAGCTGGGCTAGTGGGATATAAAGACTGTATTGGGGTCTATCATCAGGTTATAAGTAGTAAGGGCCTGGAATTAGGGAACTAGGAATAAGGAAAGTGCAATTATATCATTTTCATCTGGATGGATAAGAAAATATAATATATATATATGTGAAACAGAATATAATTCATCCGTAAAAAAGAGAAATCCTGCCATTTGCAACAACATGGATGGACCTTGAGGGCAATATGCTAGTGAAGTAAGTCAGACAGAGAAAGACAAATACTGTATGACCTCACTTACATGTGGAATTTAAAAAAAATACCAAACTTATAGAAACAGAGAATAGATTGGTGGTTGCCAGAGACAGGGAATGGAGGAAATTGGTGAAGGTGGTCAAAGGGTATAAAACTTCAAGTTATAAGATGAATAAGTTCTAGGAATCTAGTGTAAAGCATGGCAACTATAGTTAACAATATTGTTTTGTATATTTGAAAGTTGATAACAGGGTAGATCTTAAAAGTTAGAGATACCTAGGTTTAAATTTTCAGCTTTACCACTTTTTAATGATATGATATTTTGCATCCAATTGTTTACCCTCACTGAGCCTTTTTCTTCATCTATAAAATGGAGAAAGCAATATGATCCTAGAGGACCCCTGTAGATTAAATAAGGTAACATGTAGCACTTAAGTTGTCCTTGGCACACACACACACAAAAAAAAAATTGGCATCCATTAATAATAACGGTATTAATAGTATGCTATCTTTGAGAAAGTTCAAAAGGAACAACAGAAACATTGAGTGTCTTCTAGAGCCCCAACACTGTGTTGTGTACAGACCTATAACAACCTGAAAGATTGGGAACTTCATCCTTATTTTAAACTAGCACTTGGGTGTTATAAACATGTAATTAACTCCTTGTGGGTTCCCAGAAGCCTCTTCATAATTAAATTCTTGCAATTGCTATTTTCATTGTTAATATTATTGGGGTACTCTCAAAAGAGCCTGTCTCTCTCCTTGAGTGGAAATTAAAATGGGGTGGAGGCAGGGAGTTGCTGAAAACACTGCTATGTATGCTGAGTTCAATAATATGTACTGCTACTGATCATCTTCATTAATTTTTCTGTGGATGTACTACCTGTTTTCCAACTTCCTTCTCTCTTACACGTGCAGAACTTATGATGAAGAGAAGCCCCAGTCAGTCCACTCTGCACCAAATAATAACCCAAGAGATTTAAGTCAACTGAAGCATGTCTCGGGACGGGGAACATGGTAACCAGGAAAGCCGCTATGGATCTGCCCAGCTGGTGCAGCCCCAGGCTGGGGAGACCCAACCACAGGAATGAGCATGGGTCCACTGTCTGTGCCCCCACCCTCGACCAGATTGGGGAGCCAAGAAGGACTTCCCGCACTCTCTAAGTTTCAACTCCGAGGCTGCGTGTGCTTCAGCCTATCATGCCTGCCTGCAACGTGGCCGCATCTGGGAAACGGCTCATATCCTCATACTCCCTGGGTCACCCAAACTCTTCCATTCTCTCTCCAGGCCCAGCCGTAGTCCAGGTCCCCCAATCCCCGGTTCTTCTCTTCATATGCCGGGAGAATCTCTCTCTTATCAGGTTCCAGCAACACCAGGCAAACCCCTTCACTTGGAACCTTAGCTCTCCTGACACCGCCTGGCTGTGGGGTGGAGGCAGGGCCTACAGCGGAACCGCCCTCAACCGCCTCCCCTGCCCGGCGGGTTGCTGGGGCGCCTCCACCTCCTCTTCCTAAAGCCGCGAGGCGCAGACCAGCGGCATCACTCGAGCCCAGGTCCCAGCCACCACCACACAGATCACTGCGCATCCAAGAGGAGGAGCAGCTGAGGAGGCGGCAGCAACAGCGGCCGGAAGGTGCCAGAAAAGGTAGACTGAGTCCCATGGAGTAGCGCCGCGAACTGCCCACCTCCTAGCCCGGGGCTACGCGCCACTAGCCCAGTAACCCCACCTCGGTGTGTCTTTCCAGGCCCTGGTTGAAAAGCCTGGGCGGGCCGCTGAAATACCCTCTGAGGAGGAGCTAGTCCCAGCCCAAGGCGCCACCGCAGACGCAGAGTGTGAAGGAGCAGTCGCCTTCATGGCCCACTCACCGGTGGCTGTCCAAGTTCCCGGAATGCAGGTGAGAAAGCCCAGGCCTGCCCCGCTGCCCACGTGACTGAGCAGGAGCCCAGCGCGCTCCACTGTGGGTATTGGCGTCGAGGGGCGGCCCCAAGGCTGCCCCAAAGGCAGGGCAGGGCGCTCTGGCCAGGTGACCTGAGAGTTGGGCTCTAAGTGTTTCCTGGATTTCAGGCTAGGTGGTGCACTGCGTGGAGAAGGCAGGGAAGGACTGGGGCGCGAAACGAGGTGGGGGATGTGGGGGAGGGGTATAAAAATAGGCCAGAGCGAGACACCTGCGCCTGCTGAGCGTGGTACCCTTAATAATTGGAGGCAAGAGGACTTGTGACAAATGGAGATGTGTATGAATTTGTGGGGTAAAACTCAAGTCTTGCTCACCGCCACCCCCCACCCCGACACACACACTCACATCTGTTGGGGCGGAGCAAGACAAGGGGCTGTCGTGGCGGCGGCATTAAATTGGGCTCTTCCTGTGTGCGTAGAGCAAAGAGCGAGGTGACTTCTTTTTCCCTTTTGGTGCTGGTTTTTAAGGGCGAGATTGTATCTCACTCCCCCACCTGCCTCAGCTCATAGTGCGGCTTGAGAAATGCAGGTCCCGTATCAGTCGCCTAGAAGGTGTCTCCTGACTCCTCTCTTGCTTTCCCACGAGATGATTGTTGCATGTGGTTAAAGAAAGCTTTTTGTTCTGGTCAAGGGACTACTGCATAGGACCCAACTTCTTCCTCGAGATCTAACCAGCTCCCTCCCATTATATTCTCATTGTATTAAAAAGAAATAAGATATGGTTTTAAATTGATGCATTTCAAGCTATCTATAAATGTTATCCAAGTCTACTAACTTTTAAGCATTCACATTTTATTTTTTTCCTTTTCTTGCTAGTCCAAACAGCCCATTTATGAATAACTCAGAGACTAGAAACACTAAAGCATCAGTCTCTCATTATCTTCTAAAAATGTGAAACCAAACTTTTCTCAAGTTCAGAAGAAAATGTTTAGAATAGTAAATAGCTTATGTTTCTAGTAGCAATGAAAGAGCTGTGGATTGAGGCCTCAATTTACTAATTGAAGCATGGAATTCATCTTTTTTTTTTTTAAAGGCAATTGGTCACATTTTATGCATAGTCACAAAAAAAGTGATTTTTTTAAAGATACTTACCCCCAAAGGACCATTTGTGTCAGACATATATTTGTACTAAGACTACTGTATATCCTAATCACCAAGTCTTTAAGCTGAATATAGGACAAGTCTGCGTTCAGTCCCAGGAAGTTGGTGTGTATTTAATAAAAAAGAGGGGAAGGAAAAGAGAAATGAGAAATATTAGGGCTTTTAAAAAGATTAATCCACTTAAGCTTTACAAAACCCTCAAACTTTCTTCACAGACCACTCCTCTTTCC